GGGCCTGGGACACATGCTCACCCTGGAAGACTCGGGGTGCCCTCACCAGAGGAAGGGGTGTGGTTTCTGGAGAGGCAGGAACGATCCGGGGCAGCTTACCGGGGCGCTGGGCACAGACCATAGACATAATATATGAGAAGGTGATAAACACTCTGAAAACAACGGGTAAAGGGGTCAGTGTGTCAGAGTGGGGGCAGGGAGGTCTTCAGTGTGTCAGAGTGGGGGCAGGGAGGTCTTCAGTGTGTCAGAGTGGGGGCAGGGAGGTCTCACTGAGAAGGTGACCTTTCAGCAAAGCCCTGGAGGGAAGGGAACTCGGAGTGTCCCGAGAAGAGGGAACAAGGGCAGAGGCCAGGGCACACAGCCGGAGGGGGTGACAGCAGGGGTGGGGGGCTGCCAGCAGGGCCCAGCGGGCCTGGGGAGAGTTTGGCTTCAACTTGGGCGTTTGAACTCAGTCCGTGGACTGTGGCCGGGTCATCACCACTGCCTCGGGGGCCTCTGGACAGATGCAGCCGCTGCCTCGGGGCCTCTGGACAGATGCAGCTGCTTTTCTTCTCCTCAGCAGCCCCCTGCCCTGCTTTGGTCAGGGGGCTTCAGCCCTTGCCCCAGGGCTTTCTCAGCATTTTCCTTGGAGGCTTCTCCCAGAAAGCCTGCCCTGCCTAGCACCCACCCTAGTTCCACCCTCCCTGGGGTGAGATCCGCAGCGGGTGGTCCAGAACTGGAGCCTCGATGGGTGCTGCAGTCAGAGAGGGCTTCCCAGAGGAGGAAGGGGTTGCAGGGGGAGGTGGGGGGACAGGAGGGGCGAGAAACTCCAAGGCTCTCTCCAGAACCCAGTGTCCTCTAGAACCTTATGTTTGGTTTTTTGCTCCCTAGAGCATGAGCCCCAGGACAGTGACCACCCCCATCTTTTCACCTCAGTGTCCCCAGTGCCCCACACAGGGCTGACACCCAGTAAGTGTTCGAGAAAGGAAGGGACGAGGGCAGGAACAGCATCTTCCCGGCCCTGTCCCTCTCCCACCTCCCCTTACCGTGCCCACCTCAGATTTGGCACCAAGCTGGGCTCCGAGGGGCCCCCGGAAGCCCACAGTCCAGCCTGGAAAACCCGTGCTCGGGAAGCACGTGCATTATGAAGTGAGAAGGCCTGGGCGGGGGCGGGGAATCGGGGTGTTTTTTTAAGCACCTATTCTTTGTGCCAGGTATTGTCTACACCTTATAAATCCTATTTTACTGACATGGCACCCATTTTGAAAGGAGGTGAAGGGGTGTCTTCAAGGATACACAGCCCCGCTGCATTCTGCCTACAGCCCATGGCCTCCCTCGTCGGCTGGAAGTGGACCCCAGGTTGCAGGCAGCCCATGAGCAGGTTAAGGGCGGCATGTTGGGGGGCGGGGGGAGGCACTTGTGACTCACCTATGCCCCAGAGGAGGGCTCTGTGTGTGTCACTGGGTTTCCCTGACCCCAGATGCAGAGTGGAGGCGGGAGAGGCTTGGCCCGTGGATACGTGCGGCGGCAGCAAATGGAGCTTGTAAACTGCAGCCCGCTGGCCTACTCAAGGACTTTTGTTTTGTTTTGTTTTGGGGGAATTTTTTGTGGTGAAAAATTTTGTAAAACATAAAATTTGCCATTTGACCATTTTTAAGTGTGCAGCGTGGCAGCGGTACATTGACAGTGTTATGCAACCAGCACACATTATTTCCAAAACAGAGTTTTCATTACTCTAAACAGAAACTCTGTAACCATTAAGCAATAACTCCCCATTCCGCCCTCCGCCAGTCCCTGGTGTCCCCTCATATACTTTCAATCCCTCTGAACACGACTGTATTGCACGTGAGTGTTCTCATTCAGTATCCGTCCTGTTGCTTCTCACTTATTTCACTTAACGCAACGCTTCCACAGTTCATCCATGTTATAGCGTGTATCAGAGTTTCATTACTTTTTATGGCTGAATAGTATTTCATTGCATAGATAGACCACGTTTTGTTTGTCCGTTTGTCCAGTAAGGTTTTTCAAAATGTGAACAATGTAAGTCAGTCACCAGTATTTAAAAATCTGGACATTTACATAATGGTGCATATTTCCAGTTTCTTCTAAAAACTTGGAATGCAGAGCTACAGGAGGTCAGGGCTCCTGGCCTCATGGGTCTCATCTGCCCAGCCACTTCCCCTATCAGACTGAGGCGGCATCTGCCTTCTCGGAGGGGCCGTGCCACCATTGGAGCCAGTGCCTGAGGTGCACAGCCCTGGGGTGAGGGTGTTGGCAGCTCAAGAGTCTGGGCCAGCACCCTGGGCTCCTGAGCTGGAGGGCCCTGGGAACACCGCACACACACGCACCCGCGTACACACTCACACACACCCACGCGCGTGTGTCCTCACAGCACTCGAGCCTCCTTCGTGCTCATGCCTGGAGATGCACAGGGCAGGAGGGTCCATCCTCCCTGGAGGGAATCTGGCCGGGAGGCAGGCAGTCAAGGCGCCACCTCTGGGCCCGTTCCTGGTGTGACGCTGCGGGAGTGAGCGTAGTGACGACTGGCTCTCTCTGTGCTTGGTGTGGTGCCCATTGACCCTCCTAGCAACCCCTCCTTCCAGAGGAGGAAGACAAGGCCCTCTGAGGTCAAGCAAGTGGCCTTTTGGGGGTGGTGCCAGGATGTGAAGTCACACCTGCAAGGTGAGCTAAGAATGGGCACCGGCCAGAGCTCAGAGGAGCTCAGACAGTTGGCCAGGATGGGTGTCAATCCTTGCCCTTCAACTCCTTGACCCTGGCAGAGACTTCTGAATCCCGGGTGCTGGGGCTTCTCTGGCAACGGGCCCAGCCCTGGTGGGGAGGTAGGCAGCTCTCAGGACTGACCCTGAGCCGCTGAAGGAGGCATGAAGTATCCCTCGGAAGGATGGGTACCAGGCTGGGCTCAGGGCTCTGAGTACCTCCTTCCTAGGGACAGCGGAGGAGGGAGGCCTGCTCTGAGAAGGTAGCGTTGAGCCAGGTCCTGAAGGTGGACTGACATTCACTGAGCTGGAAGCAACATGGCAGGCAGGCAGCAGAGCCCAAGCAGAGGCCTGGAGGTGTGAGGCTTCAGAAGTGGTCCAGGGTAGTGGGACCTGGGCTGGAGGAGGCTGCAGAGATCATGGGACCAAGAACACACCCAGCACCCTTGCTGACTCTTCTTGGGCAGGCTGTGGGGAGCAGGAAGGTTAGGGAACAGGGGAGTGATCATTAGACTGGTGCTGGGAAAGGGTGGGGTGACCGAGGGGAGCTGGGGTGCTGAAGGGGGAGGTCGGCCAAGGAGGCTGGATGGGGTGGATGTGGTTTGGCAAGCTGGCGGCCCATTGACTCTCTGTGTGTCTCAGTAATGTGCATCCGTCCCCCGGGAGGGCTGGCATCTGGGTCATAGTCACTACTTTGTTTCTCAGCCTGGGACAGAGCCAGCACACAGTAGGTGCTCAGTAAATACTACTCACTCTACCAGTATCTAGGCTGGTCGCTGGAGGCACTGCCAGAAGAAAACCAGAGCCATCTGTGATTGAGGAGGAGGGGATGGGCGGTGAGGTTCCAGAGGTAGCAGGGCGGCTAGTCTGGGGACTGTGGGATGAAGCTGAGCAAGGCGGGGGAGGGGGGGCAGGGGGGGCGGGGATCTTTGGGGTGGCTTTGAGTAGAGCCTGGAGCTGCCCTGCAGGAGGATGGAGAGAGCAGTGACTGCCCAGAGGAAGAGGGGCAGAAGGAGGGGCATCCTGGCCCAGGGGACCTGCGGCAGCCGAGGGGGAGGGGTGCCATGGCGCGGAGGCCTTTCCCATCCCCCTCTGCCCTGGGCCCTGGCTGCTTGATGGGCAGCCGGGAGGCCAGTGATTGGTTGGCGAGCTAGAGCCGCTTGGTCACCATGGGGACGCTCCGGAGGTGCGCGTGCCCAGTGCCCAGCACCAGGAACTAAATCTTCATAATCTGCCGGCTGGGAGGGTGGGGGTGGGGTCGTGCGCGACCCTGGCCTGGGAGAGGGGGTGGCCTGGGAGGCGGTCAGGATTCACTGTGGCCGCCCCTCCCCCACCCACTCTCGTTACAGGTGCAGAGCCGCTTGGGCACCTGGGCGCCACCAGGAACCACGCGGTACTCACCTGACAGTGACCCCGGGAGCTTGAGCGTAGCTTGGGCCTCTGCCTTCTCAGCTGATCAAGCAGGAGGCTGGGGCAGGGTGGGGAAAAGGGGCCTGGAATTTATCTGAAGTGTCTAACCCCCTAGTTAAAAGTTTGTCCTCCTAGGTCCCCCAGCAATGCCGCGCTGTCTGCAGCAGGGGGCGCCCTCCACAGGGCTTTGTTGGGCTGTCACTTCAGGAAAGCAGGGATGGCCCAGGAGGTGCCAGGGATGCACCCGCAGCCCTGGCTCTGGGTGTTCAGTGCCATGTGGCTGGCCATGCACCAAGGGCAGATCTCTGTCTGCACAGGCTTGGCCTGGGCCTGCTTGCTGGAGGGAGTGACTAAGGGGCAGGGGTGTCACAGTGGAGCCAACCTTCTTCAGGCAGAGGATGGAGAAGTTGGAGGGTCTGCTGTGGGGAAGGGGTCCTGTGGGGAGAGGGTGTAAAGGGGCAAGGCAGTGGTGAGCTGGGGGAAGAGGGGGGCACTGGCCAGGCCCCATGCAGCCCCTGGCGTGTCCGAGAACTCCTGGACCTGCGGCAGGCAGGTCACACTTGAGGCTGCAGCCACTCACTTCCTGGCCCCCGAAGCTGGATATGGCTTTTGTGGGGTGGAGGGCAGGAGGCATGCTCCATGGCCGCTCCGCCCTGATGGCCCCAGTTTCCGGCAGAGGGACCCTGCCCCTACCTCAGGCTGGGGCAAGGCTAGCCTCTTGGCGCCCCCAGCGGGGACGGCAGCGCTCACTCACCTCCTGCCCAGGGATGCTCGTGAGGACAGCATAGGGCAAGTACCCCCTGTGGCTGCCGTGGCCACGTACCTGGTGGGAGGGGGGTCTTAGGGGCCAGCGGGTGCTGAGGTGGAGCCTCACACCCAGGCCTCTCGTTTCAGACGACTCCTCCTCCGAGAGCGGCAGTGGCAATGGCTCCTCCACCCTGAACCCGTCCACCTCGAGCAGCACACAGGGAGACCCCGCCTTCCCCGAGATGAATGGCAACGGCACCGTGGCCCCCGTGGACTTCACCGCCACCGCCGAGGATCAGCCCATCAACCTGTGCGACAAGCTCCCGCAGGGCTCAGCGCTCGGCACGCCCTCCTACCCCTCCGACGCCGATGGACTGCGGAGCCGCGTCAAGTATGGGGTGAAGACCACCCCCGAGGTGTGTGGGGCTGCGGGCTGCTGGCCCGCCGGAGCTGGGAGCCTCTGCCGCGCCCGTACACGGCAGGGCTGTGCGGGGCTGACGTGAAATCACGCGTACCGGGGTTCTGACACCAAGTCAGGGTGGTAGCCGTGGCTGTTCTGCTATCATTGTCCTGGGGAGGCTCTGGAATGGGAGACCGCTCAGTTGACCTCGAGCAAGGCCCTCACTTCTCTCAGCCTCCACCCCCCATCTGTGAAGTGGGGTTGTTGGCCTCTGCCTTGGTGGACGTGGTGGGTGACGTGTGGCCTGGCCCCCTCTGCCTCCAAAACAGAGTCTGCTGTGAGGAGCAGCAGCAAGTGGGCTGCATTCAGCACAGAGGCCCAAGGCCTCATGTTTTCTCGCTACTCTGCATGCCTGTCCCCATTCTACAGATGGTGCAGAAAAAAGGTGAGGCCTTTGTTTGTGGCCCCAGGGATGTGGATGTGTGAAACTCAATAGACCAGGCTAATGGGGGGCGGACAGGTGCCCCACCATTTGGCGCTCCCCTCCCCCTCCCCTGTTGCTTCCGAAAGCCATCTCCAGGCCACCGAGGTCTCCTGCAGCAGTGCAGTGCGGCACCAGGGGCGGGAGCTCTCCCGGGGGGGTGTTTTCTTCTGCCCGGGCTAGGGGGCCCAGAGGTGCCTTCTCAGAGCCCTACACTCCTGGGCTGCAGCTACGGGCCCCTGCACAGGTTCCTTCCCCTCCCAGGGCCTGTTTTCTCTTCTGCAGAGGGTGTGGGGTGGGTGCCAGTGCTGGCTTCCAATGACGTGTCTCGTGGAAAGGTGCTGTACAAATGAACGGGTGTTCAGTCGTCGCTGTGTGTCTGAGCCCAGGCTGAGGGACAGGTACTGGCCAGAGCAGTGTCTTCCCTTCTTTGACTGGGTCCCAGGGGCAGGCACAGCTGCTGCCTCGGCAGGCGGAGAGCCAGAGGGGTTGAGTTTGCCACCGGGGCCTCAGGCCACATGTGTGGACCACGGAAGTGAGACGGGAGCACAAGCGCCACCGATAGTTCTTCTGTTTCCTCTGACGCTGGCAGAGGATTGGCCCAAGAGCACCTGGGACTGTGACTTGCCCAAGGCGCCTTTGACCCTCCGTCGCGAGTCTGACACAGCCCAGTGGGAGGCCAGAGGACCTGGGTGTCCTTTCCCCTTCAGAGTCTATGTGTGGATCAAGAGATGGGCACGAGGCCAGGGACCCTGGGAGGGCTGACCCCGGTGGGTGTGGTCACATGGAGGCTGGTGGTGGCAGCTACCGTGGGACAGGGCACCAATCAGTGTCTGTCTTTATACGTTTGTCCGCAAGAGCTGTATGCCGTCTGGGCCACTATGTGGCCACGTTGCAGGGTGTGATCTGCGGCTGTTTGTTTCCTGGGCCTGACTGCCTACTAGATGCCCACCTCCTTGAGGGCAGGGACTGTGTCTCCAGGACGCTGCTAGTCAGGGTACCACTGAGTGAAGTCAGGACTGGACAAAGCCGCAAACTTTCTAAAAGGCAAATGACAGTGGTCCTCGGGGAGCCTTCCCAGAGCACGTGCGGCAGGGGGCAGGAGACCGGACGGGAACTGAGCAGTAAAGGAAGAAGAGGATGGAAAAAGCAGAGAGGAGAGTGGGGAAGTGCATTCCCAGGAGAGCTGGGGAAGGGTCTTGCTCCAGGAGGGGCTCAGGGGGTGGGTCCCTTCTCTACTGCAGGACAAGGGGCTGTGCCTGGTTCCCTCTCCCCTTTCTACACACGCTCTGCATCAGGGCTCACGGTGACTTCCAGGGGTGGCGGCAGACAGGAGAAGCCCGGCCTGGGAGCTGCGGGGATGCCCTTTTGCCTGATGGGCCTGTCTCTTTGGCTGGTTCTTTCCCAGCCCATCTGTTCCTCATCCCCGACAGACAGCACACTCACTGCTTTTGTGACAGCTCGGTTGTCAACTCAGGGTTGCAGCCCCTTGGAGACCAGGGAGGGAAACCCCGAAGCCAGAACAGATCTTGGCACAGCAGGAGAGGCTGGCTGGTGGCGGGAAGGAGCCCTTTCTGTGTTTGCCTTTCCCTCGTGCGATGAGGCACATCCTGGCGTGGGCACTGCTGCCGAGTAAGCCACTATCCCCTCCACTGAACTCCTCCGGGGCGCCAGGCCTCTGCATGTGTGGTTGCGGGCAGTCCCTCCTACAGCCGCCCAGGGAGGGGCGGCAGCATCGCTGTCCCCGTGTCACAGGGGAAAGGAGCAGAAGGAGAGTGACTTGCTCAGGGCCTTGCAGCGTGGCTCACGTGGCATCTGGGTGTGCTCACCGCGGCCTGACCCTCTGCCCCCGCCGCCCTCTCTCAGTCCCCCCCCTACAGCTCGGGGAGCTATGACTCCATCAAAACCGAGGTCAGCGGCTGCCCTGAGGACCTGACGGTGGGCCGGGCCCCCACAGCAGATGACGACGACGATGACCACGACGACCATGAGGACAATGACAAGATGAATGACTCCGAGGGCATGGACCCTGAGCGCCTCAAGGCCTTCAACGTGAGCGCCCGCCCGGGACAGCCAGCTGGGGCAGGGGCTGAGCCGGGCCAGCCCTTCCCACAGCCTGTGTCTCCTGCAGATGTTCGTGCGTCTCTTTGTGGACGAGAACCTGGACCGCATGGTGCCCATCTCCAAGCAGCCCAAGGAGAAGATCCAGGCCATCATCGAGTCCTGCAGCCGGCAGTTCCCTGAGTTCCAGGAGCGGGCCCGCAAGCGCATCCGCACGTACCTCAAGTCCTGCCGGCGCATGAAGAAGAACGGCATGGAGATGGTGAGCCCCAGGCCCACCAGTCCCAGGCTCCCCGCACCCTCCCGGCCTCCTGGGCGCTTTTCCCACAGCCCTGCCAATACCCCTGGAAGCAGGCATTGTGGCCCCTCGTTCACAGAGGAGCCCAAAGCCCAGTGCCGCCCTGCCCACCTCTAGGGCAGGGTCCCTGTGCCCTAACACTGGCTCCATCCCCATTCTGCCTGCAGACCAGACCCACACCTCCCCACCTGACCTCGGCCATGGCAGAAAACATCCTGGCAGCTGCCTGTGAGAGCGAGACGAGAAAAGCAGCCAAAAGGATGCGCCTGGAGATCTACCCGTCCTCTCAGGTGCCTGCTCGCTGCCAGCCACTGGGAGGGTGTCCTCAGCCACGCCGCAGATACTGCCACGGCCCCCGGGTGCAGAGGGAGCAGGGAGGGCGTCCTCAGATGGGAGATGGAGATGCTGGGGGGAGGGGGGCGGCGGGGGGAAGTCAGAGGAGCCCAGACACAAAGGCCTTGCGGACCTAGGAAGGGAGTCTGGACTTCATCCCGAGCCCTGAGAGTGTCTTCAGCCGGGCAGGAACAGATGAAATCTGCCCTGAAGATAGATGAGCACATGGGGGGCTGGGGGAGGCCCTGGGCAAGGCAGCCAGGGGGAGAGGCAGAGTCCTGCAGGTCCCGCGCCGGGTCCCGGCAAATCTGGGGCCACCACCCACCCCCGTCCAGGGACCGTGGTCAGGGCTTGCTGCCCCTGTGGTTCCCCAGCGCCTCCCTCCCGCTCTGCAGGACGAGCCCATAGCCCTGGACAAGCAGCACTCCCGGGACTCCGCAGCCATCCCCCACTCCACCTACTCACTGCCAGCCTCCTCCTACTCCCAGGACCCTGTGCACGTCAACGGTGGCCTGAACTACAGTTACCGTGGCTACGGGGCCTTGGGCAGCAACCTGCAGCCCCCTGCCTCCCTCCAAACAGGAAATCACAGTAATGGTGAGTGTGGGACACCAGGCTCTGCGGCTCCCTGACCAGCTGCCTTGGGAAGGGGGCGGGGCAGGCAAGGAGGCAGCAGAGGCGGCGGGAAAGTGACTCCTTCTTGGCACAGGGACCCTCCCCATCTCATGATCTTAGCCAGTCCTTAGCTTGGAAGGCAAGGTTAACAGGAACAGCGTTCCGCTCCTTTCTTGCCTCCCCGGAGGCTTGCTGGGCCTCTCCCTGGTCCCCTGCCGCTGCCCCACACCCCCTCCACGGGCCACTGCGTGCAGTCCCAGCCAAGGCCCCGCTCTTCACCTGAGTTGAGCCCCTCCACACCCTCGTCTCACCCAAAATGACCAAGTCTCAGTGAGACGGTCACTGGCCCAGGTCTTGCAGAGTTGATGGCAGAGCCAGGATTTGGTCCCAGGCAGGTCACCTCCCTCTCCAGGCCACCGCTTAGGACCTCACTTGTGAGATGAAGGTTCTTCTTTTTAAAAGCATTTCTTAGTTTTTTAAAAAAATTTATTTATTTTTGGCTGCATTGGGTCTTCGTTGCTGCGCGCGGGCTTTCTCTAGTTGCGGCGAGCGGGGGCTACTCTTCGTTGTGGTACGGTGCGCAGGCTTCTCGTTGCAGTGGCTTCTCTTGTTGCGGAGCACGGGCTCTAGGCGCGCGGGCTTCAGTAGTTGTGGCACATGGGCTCAGTAGTTATGGTTCACGGCTCTAGAGCGCAGGCTCAGTAGTTGTGGCACACGGGCTTAGTTGCTCTGTGGCATGTGGGATCTTCCCGGACCAGGACTCGAACCCGTGTCCCCTGCATTGGCAGGCAGATTCTTAACCGCTGTGCCACCAGGGAAGCCCCGAGATGAAGGTTCTTTGAGCTAGGAGCAGGGCCCCAGCCCTTTCTGCTGCACTGTGGGGCCCCATCTAGGTCACCTGGGACAGTGGTTAGCCGTCTGTCCCCCCACTCTAACCCCAGGAGCTGGTGATCTCCTAGGTGCCCCCTGTAACTCTGCCCATGTGACTCTGATGCAGACGGAACACAGGCCAATATTGGAGAAACAGTCCCCAAAAGATACAAACCTCCCCATGGAGCTAGCTGCTGCCCTGAGTGTGGACCTCAGGCCCTGTCACACTGAGGCCTGGGTGGCAGGTGTGGCAGGAGAAGAGCGGGCTCCCCCGGTGAAGGGCAGCCTGGCGGCCTCCGGGAGCTGGTGGGGTCAGGTAGGGGTGATCCCAGGGCCTCTTGAGCCAGGTATCCGGATTTAGTTCTGTGTGCAGCGGGAGCCACAGATAGGCTTTAACCAAAGGAGGCTATGAATTGTGCTGTCTGCCCTTGTGGTGAGATTTTAATGGGGAGGACAGGAGGCAGAAGCAGTGTGCTTCGGGGGTCGTTCAGAGGCGAGAGGAGAGGCTGGGGGTGACAGCAAGTTGCTGCTTGACGAGTAGGTTAGAGGAAGGTGCCGCCTGCAGGCCAGGGAATTCTGGTTCTAGGTCTTGGCTGAACGTGCCTGAGAATTCCTCTCAGGCCCTTGTCCTTGGCCACGGGAGACCCCTTACTGTTCCTGGGCAGCGATGGAGGCGGCTGGTCCCTACCCATGGCAGAAAGCCCAGACACCCTTGCTCACCTTGCCCCCCACCACCGGCAAGTACGTGTGGGTCCCTGGAAGATTCCTGCCTGGGCTTAACTTCTCATCCTTTCCTAATGCCTCTTAACCTAAAATAAGAGGCTGCCTGGCCCTAATCCCTGAGGCTGAGGCCAGAGTGGTCAGCTGCAGCAGGGGTGAAATGGCTGTCCCAGGCGGGCTGCTTTCCTTCCAGGAAGGAGCCTATCTGACAGCCCTGCTGAGTGGGGACCCTGGTAGAGCGTGTCTGGAGACAGGTGCGGGGCAGGAAGTTAGAGCCCCCCCTGTTGCGCACGGGGAGAGTCCTTCCCAGGGGGCAGGTGATGGTGATAGGCCCCCCCCGGCACCACACAGCAGGGCCTGTCTCGGGCCGCAGCTGCCAGGGCTGCTCCGGCCTCTCTTGAGGGCCAGGCCTGCCGCCCTCCCGCCCTGTTCACACTTGTCAGAGAGGCTTCAAGAAAGGCCACTAGCTCTGCCCCTGTACCTCAGTCTCCCTGGTTCCTTAGAAGTGGGTGGTGAGGTCACGGAGGCCGAGATCTGCTCGCTGATCTCCTGCCTGGGGCAGTGGCGTCCTGTGAGCACTGGGTTTGGGTCCAGCAGTTGGAAGAACACCACGGGCAGTCCCAGTCCCAGTACCTTACCAGCAGCAGCCCTTAAATGAGGGTTCAGTCCATTTGGCACCTTGGTTGGGCAGTCGTGTTGGTAGCTCAGAGCTCCTCACTTAGATCGTGGGTGGATCCAGGTCAGCCCAGATAGACTCAGGCTCTGCCTGTCTTACCTGGGGTGCTGGGCAACGCGCACCCGCTCTGGCCCCTCTAGCAACCACCTGGCCACCTGAGTGTCTGCCTGTAACCAGAGCCCTGGGGGAAGAGACGGAAGGCCTGCTCTGAGCATGGGAGTGAAGAGGACAAGGCTTGGGGGCGGAGGGAGGAAAGAGAGGAAGCCCAGGGCCAGCTCACACCCATGTGGCAGGCGGCCTTCCTCTGCCATCCCCAGCCAGTGTCTGGAGGGGACCAAACCCTGCAGCAGCCGGGAGCCAGCGCAGGCACCCCTGCCTGCTCCCAGACTATCCCAGCAGCACCCACGTGGGGGTCAGCCGCCTGCTTGGCTGCTGTTCCCAGCAGTTCACAGCCCCAGTCCTTCCTCCTGTGTTTCATTTTAACGGACTTCCCTCGACCCTCAGTTCCAAGGATGTTCCTTAGCAGGCCAGTTCCCAGGACCTCCTGCTTGACGTCCCTGTTCTCTGATTAGAGAAGAAATAACCCCATGTGACAGACTGTCCCATCTAGATTCCAACTTCCTTCCCCATTTGGGGGCTGCACCAGCTTCCTTTTAGCAGTAGTCGAGTTTCCATAATTTCTCCCAAGATGTTACTTCTGGTCTATATGTCTCCAGTGACAAGGGCTTGTCCATCTCTGTAGCAGCATAAAAACTATAGGGAGTTCCCTGGTGTCCTAGTGGTTAGGATTCTGGGCTCTCACTGCTGTGGCCCGGGTTCAGCGCCTGGTCAGGGAACTGAGATCCTGCAAGACTCATGGTGCGGCCAAAAAAAAAAAAAGAAAGCTGCTGCCACTGTAGGTGCAATAATGATTCAAACTGGCTGTCAGAACCAGTGGGGTAGTGGGGAGCTGGCTGGTAACTGAGAACTGCCTCACACACCCTCGTACGATGATCTCTGCGTATGGGAGTTGGGGGCTGGGCAGGGCACAGGGAGACGGACCTAGCTGGGTCACAGAAGGCCTCCCAAGCAAGCTTCCACTCCCACACCGCCAGATCCTCTCCTTTGGCGGTTTTCTTGCTGAACACCTCGAAAGAATGCTCAAATTCCAGGAGCTTCTGTGTTTCCTGGAAGCCCTTTCCCAGTGGGCCTCCGTAGGCTGAGCATCCCGAGCCGCACCGAGGGGTTCACCGGCGTGGCTCAGCCCCAGAACAGTCTCCTTGTGCTGTAGCTGAGGGCCGGGGGCCCAGGGAAGTTAGGAATCACCCACGGCGGGGCCGAGCAGGCCGCCAGTCCGGGCTCGCTGACTGCAGAGCCACAGCGCACCCCATAGAGCCGTTTGGGAAAGGTGGAGAGGAGACCAGGCCTGGTGGCCCCAGCACACACCCCCAGTGTGTTTCGGTAAGACTGCAGGCTCCCTCTTTGTTGCCACTGTTCAAGGGCAAAGGGGAGGTGATTTCTCCAGAGGGCCCCTCTGGGTCCTGTCTGACCTTCCGACCTTCACACACCCACCCCACGCTCTCCCGTCCCACCAGCATTAATCTTCCACCTCGCTTGGGCACAAGAGAACTTCTCAAAGGCAAGGGGCTTAGAGGTGCTGCAGCCCATCAGGAGGAGGCTCAGCCCCCAGCGCCTCCCTCCACCTGCCCCTCCAGCTGCTCCCGGCAGGGCGCGCTCCATCTGGCCGCTCCAGCCCCGGCCTCTTTCCCAGGCCCAAGCAGGGCAGCCCAGGGCAGCCAGCCTCTTTCTTGCTCTTCCCCGGCGGCAGCGGTTGAGAAACCCCTTCCTTGTCTCATGAGGCGCACACATGGGTGCTTCTTTTCCTGGCCTTCTGGGGCTCCAACTCTGGACTCCGTCCAGAGCTTTCCACACCCTGTCCCCCTCGGGGGCGTCGGACCCCCACCTACCGGCAGTGTCTTAGCCGCCTCCTCCCCCGGAGACCAGAGCCCAGAGCGCGGAGGCCTGCCTGACAGTCCTCAGAGAGCAGCCGAGGTGCGATGAGTGCCAGGGAGCTGGGCTCAGAGTGCTGCCCGGCCCGAGGCCAAAGCCTCCCCCTGACCCCAACACAGGATCACCCTCGGGCTTAACAGAGAAGCCCACGTCTTGTCTGCAGGCCCCCTTCTAAGCACTGGGGTACAACCGTGGAGACAGACGAGGGCCTTGGGCCCCCACGATAAGGGAAAGGGTGCCCCTCCTCACCCTGGCTCCCCTCCTCACAGGGCCCACGGACCTCAGCATGAAAGGCGGGGCCTCCAACACCTCCACCACGCCCACGCCCACGCCCTCCAGCAACAGCACCAGCCGGACCATGCCCACCGCCCAGCTCAGCCCCACCGAGATCAGTGCCGTGCGGCAGCTCATCGCCGGCTACCGGGAGTCCGCCGCCTTCCTGCTGCGCTCAGCAGATGAACTGGAAAACCTCATTTTACAGCAGAACTGACCCAGCAGCACGTGGAGTGCACTACCCTAGGGAAGGAGGCTCTCCCAGCCCCGGACCGGCTTCCCGCCTCACCAGTTGGTACCTTTTGTTTTTTGAAAGAGGTGGATGCAGAAGAGCTGTTTCTAGCCACACTCCAAGCGCCTGAGACTCTGGGCACAAGGACACTTTTTTTTGGAATCTCACCACACGGGTGCTCTGACCTGCTTGGAAGAGGCCAACGGGGCAGCTTTGGAAGGGCTGGGGCTCCCCCTGACAAGGCGCTGGGGCCGCAGCTCTATTTAGAATCATCTTCGTGGACCCTGATGTTAGAATCCCACCCCCAGATAATTACCTTTCAAGTCTTAGGTGAGCAGAATTGCATATTTATTGAGAAAAACAAAGTGGACCCTTTCTTCCTCTCCCCTTAGTAATTTATTTTTCTGAAAATGGATTCTTTTGTGTTTGTACAGATTGCCAGTCTGTGTCTGTCTGATCAGAAGGATGTATCCCTGTGACCTAACATTCCATATCACTACACTGGCGCGGGCTGGGGGCCGGCAGGGCTGGGGGCAGCGGGGGCGCCGGGCTGGCTGTCCCTCTGAGCGCCCAGCCCCGCCAAGCAGGAGGACCTCACCCACACCCACTACAGAGCAAAGACAAACAAAAGCGGCTCCCCCTCCCCCATCCCACAGACGCCCCAGTCACACGGTCACCCGTATTCTACCTCACACTCCAGCGTGGGCTTTTCCAGGATGTGCCCTGAGCCTGTTCTGAACGGCTGTCTCCCACCTCCCCCACCCAGTGTGTCTGCCTGGGAGGTAAGTCCAGAGGGGAGGCCAGGAGCTGGATGGAGCCCAGGGAGGAGCCCCTGGCCCCAGCGCTTGACAGGACAGAGTGCTGGGGCACAGGCAGCCGGTCAGCTGGGTCCTTGCCCTCACCCTGCCCCCAGGGAGCCAGGTCGGAACACTTCTCCGCACAGGCCCTGGCCCCTCGGACAGGGCCCCCGACCCCACCCCCCTCATTGCTGCAGGGTGCGCCCCTGGCTGTCAGGAAAGGTGGACCGCAGCTCCTGTCCCCTGCCCCCGTGGCTGGAGTAAAGGGACCATCAGCAGAAGTGGAGAAGCCACCTGGGTTCTCCTAGGACCAGCCCTTCTGCAGGGGCCAGTCCTGGAAGAAACCCATAATCCCTGGAGTGTGAAAAAGGGCAAAAAGAAAAGGCTGGCCTGGTTTCCTTCCTCCCCGATAGGCACTTCCTCTTGCTCAGTGCAATACCTACCAGTGCTGCTAAAACCAGGGATTTGCCCAGACCTCACAAGGCCCACAGGGCCTCTCCATGCGACACTCCGTAGCCATGACAGAAGCCCTCTGTTGCCTTTCCGCCCTCAGAGCAAAGAGGTCCCATGGGAGCCAGGGCCGAGGGGACCCTAGGGTCGAGAGCCGCTCGACCCCAAAGCAGGCGCCCCCTTCCCAAACCAGCTTTTCTGCAGCCAACTGCCTCCTGGCACTGTGGCAGACCACCCTCAGGAGGGGTGGTGAGGGGGCTCCAGCGTGGATGCCTCCCCCTCCTCGGATCCGCGACTGAGCTATGGGCCCCCGATCCAGAAAGTCTGAAGGGCAGGGGGTCCTGCCCCCTGCTTGCTTCCAGCCCCGAGAGGTTGAGGGTGGCCTTGGCTCTCCCAAGTGGCCTCCAGCACCCCACGCAGCCACACCACCTCTGCCTTCCATCTGACCAGTCCCCAGGCTCCAGCCAGGGCCGGGACGCCGAGACCCGCCGTCAGCACAGCACAAGCTCCAGTGCCCGAGGCCGCTCCCACCCCACCCCCAGCGTCCACACGTCCCGCCCCCATCTGCTCAGTACTACTCGCGGACGTTTGAATTTGTGTAAATATTTATTTTTGTGTGTGAACAATACTACAAAAAGTAATCAGTAGATCTTTTGCAAAATGTTACCCCAGGCAATTTGTGAAAATCTTAACGTTGAAAACTGGCACAGACAATCGCCGCCTTAGAATTCTCGACATCAACTGCTTCACGTGTCATTTCTCCTCCCGGAGGCAGTACCCAAGCCAGGCACAAACGGTTAGCTTTTCTGAACACACAGGAGTGAGAAAGACTGGGGAAGCGGCTTCCGCCACCACCCGCACAAGGGATTAGATCTGAAGCTCAGTATAAGCTCCAGTGTGAAGTCGTGTTTTTCTGAGTCAAGCTTGTCCTAACTGACTGACCACCTTCAGCGGCCTTAGCACCGCGATAAGAGTGTGGGTTCAGTGTGCTTCCAAGAGAAAGGAAGCAAACGATGATAGGGGTCAAGGTCCGCTGGGGCTCCCAGAGCCCCTCCAGGACAGTGGATCCCATCACGTTGACCCCACCTCTGGGGTGGGCTCCTTCCGAGTGAAGCTGCACTTCACGTGAAGCCCTCGTGACGGCCGAATCGGGAGCAAGTTACTGCGTGGAAACAGGATTCCATTAGCTAGTTCCGTCAGGGAACTTGTTCAGTTTTGCTTTTGTTTTAAAAGATGCAGCGTCAACCCCATCCCTCTCCTCCTGACTTGGAGAAGCACCAAGGAGCTGGCTCTGCTGAACCCAGCTCGCTGCTGTCCCCACCCACCCCAGGGACTGCCTTCTCCTAAAGGGAGCGTCTAAAGCCCTGCCCCACAGCCAGTTCTTACGGAGGGCCTCAGGGCACAGATTGATCATTCGGGATCCTGCTTTTAAGAGGTAATGCAAGAATAGAATATATATCAGTTCCAGAGTCTTTGCAGGGGGCTAACTAATCCCACAAGGTTGGAATCAGAGGAGAAATGGGAATTTGGTCTTAGTGGTGGGTCATCGGGTAGACCAGTGAGAGTACAACCCATCTAAAACTCATTTTACCATCACCACTCAGTTTATACCCAAGGACAGTGTTGAGGGGGAGGGGGACCGGCAGGGGGTTGGAAAGTTTTAGAAGATTTCAAACAAACAGGTGGAACCCAGCCATCCCTATTCCCAAGGGCCACTTATGACTCCAGGGGTGGTTATAGGATTAATTACCAGTTCATATTCAAAATGCTGCTTTGAACTCAGAGGGTTGATACTTTTAATTTGTAATTTTTTGTAAAACTTTTTACAAGATAGTAAAGTATTTCACCAGAATACCAGTTTCAATCCGTCCATGGTCTGATTTTTATATAATTTAGTGGTGCTTTAGAAACTTTGTTTTTGTTGTTTATGAGCTAAACAGCTCAGTCCTTTTTCGCCTGTATCTACCTAAGACCAATGTGAACCTTTGTATTTTTGCTCCTAATTTTGGACTCAGTGAAAGTGTACTGTTTACATGTACAGATGCCCCGGTCCCTGTGTGTCCTGCAAGACTCGCTCCTGAGGAGGAAGGTGCACCTCAAAGCTCATCTGCTTAGCAAAGCCACAAAACAAAAACCTCTCACTTTTTACCTATGTTTCCACCTAAAAACAAAAACAAAAAACCTACACCACACAGAACTCAGATTTGCTGAAAAATACTTTTCTAAGCTCAGAAAAATCTCCATGCGGCAGATGGCCCATATGCTTGTGTCATATGGTCCATTTAGGAGCAGGGCTCAGAAGGGAGACTTCCTACCGGCTGCAGGTGGGACACTGACTGCGTGGACTCATGAAAAGTGAAACTAGGACTTGGCTGCAGAGCCGAGGGTGGATATAGCTCTTCTCCTGACAGCCTGGGAATGGGAAGGTCACGTTGACTCATGGGAGCTTCAGGGTCAAGCCACCCAAGATTTAGGGACAACCCGAGAGGTTTCCAATCCCCTGGCATAATTTAGACACGTTGGGGAAGAGCGCAAGTTCCTTACCTGAGGTGAGTTTTAAGACTTTCCAATGCAGATGGTATAAGCATTTCTTCAGGGTCCCCTGGAGGCAGCTCATTCATGAGGCATCACCTCTGGGGAGGGGCAGGGGGCTCCAGACAGTAAGCATATGGCACTTAAGACAAACAGCAGATGGCACCAACTTTTGAAGATGACTCTTTATTAATCAATGGCTTCACCTCTAAATTATATTTTTACAGATATGCACCTATGCAACTTAACGTGGCTCTTCTAAGCAGGTGAGGACTTCCTCCTCAATGCTCTATAAAAATTATTTGTGTTCTATATAGTGAGTTTTTCCAGTAAATGTGGCTTAATATTTTAATTCTTAGAATGTGTCTTCTCTATGTGATGCAACTAAATTCTGTTTTGTTTGTGGAATGACTAGCACAGGCCAACTCCCTCTCCCCTCACTTAACAAAAGACCAATGAGCTGTTAATCGAGCTGTTATCTCCATGGTATTACTTGCTAAATGCACTGATTTCATAAGTATGTGGAATCCTTTTTCTTTTGAATCTGTATATCATATATAAGACTGAATCTACTTAATAAACACTGAATAACAAACTGAATGCTTTATTTCCACTGTGTCCTCTCAACAGCAGCACTGCCAGCCAGTTCTGTTCCCTCCAACTCTAGTTTGGCACTGAGACACCATTCTACCAGTAGATTCCACCTTTTTTTTTTATTTGTATACTATTTTTGGCTGCGTTGGGTCTTTGTTGCTGCCCACGGGCTTTCTCTGGTTGCAGCGAGCGGGGGCTACTCTTCGATGTGGTGCACAGGCTTCTCACTGTGGTGGCTTCTCTTGTTGCGGAGCACAGGCTCTAGGCACGCGGGCTTCAGTAGTTGTGGCTCGTGGGCTCCAGAGCACAGGCTCAGTAGTCGTGGCGCATGGGCTTAGTTGCTCTGTGGCATGTGGGATCTTCCCGGACCAGGGATCGAACCCCGTGTCTCCTGCATTGGCAGGCAGATTCTTAACCACTGCACCACCAGGGAAGTCCCAGATTCCACCTTTTCCTAGCCAATAAGCTAGCACACAGAAGGTCCTTAGTAGATTTTCTTGAACAAATGAACTTGTCACTTTTTTTGGCACCTCACCCTTCAGAAAGGGAAGGAAATGGACCTTTCCTGGTCCTCGTCAGGTGCCCAGCACAGGCACACATCATTTTGAAATCTCACCGTTGCCTTCCCAGGGAGGTGCTCTGGCCCCGCTTACAGATGAGAAAGAGGGCACGCCGGGTGCACACCTCGCCTGGATTCAGCCAGCGCCCAAGCAAGGTCTTAAATGCAGCTGTTTCCCGGCAAATCGCCCTCTTTCCACTCCCGTCCGCCCAGGGCGCAGCTCTTCTGAGACTGAAACCAAACTCAGGCGGCTGGGAAAACCGAGGAAACACCATCCCTGGTCCTGAACCGTCAGGACTTGACACTCCATTCGACCCAACACCTGGGGTCCCCTTGAAGGAAACAAAAGGGCTGCTTTTTTTTTTTCAAAGACGTTTACTTGTGTGCAGACTTTTTTTCATCCTGCATTCAATTTAGGTTAAACTTTGAGGAAAACTTTCAGGAATGTGACTGGGGCCAAACCTGATTGTCAGGAGTTTAAAATCAATTCTGAGTTAAAAGCATAAATGTAATTAACAATTGCTTGTATATACACACACCCACACACACTATGTGGCAGTCGTTAAACGTTTTTTTTTGGTGATGGCAGAAGAATCTTTTTTTAAATGAAATTCTGTGCAGTAGCCAAATATATAAAACAGGTAAAGGGAGATGGGCCAACAATTTGAAAATGCTGCCCCAAGGGAGTCTCTATACCCTGGGGCTGAGATTCGTAAGAAGAGGAGCAGGTACAGTCAAAGCAGAAGGTGGCACTTCATCTTCTCAGATGCAGGTAGGGACCCAGAGCAGCAAGTCCTCAGTGATGCCATGACAGTGTCTGTCCCACCAAAACTACCACTGCTGAGAACCACCGAAGGACCACAAACTCCCCCACCTGGGACAACACAGCCAGAGCCCCGGCCCACGGCACACGGTCCGCGCTGGCCCAATGGAAAGCACTCACCTCCAGCTGAAGCCGCAGCCAGCCGCGGGGACACTGGGATCCAAGGAGGAAGCGCTTGTGGACAGAGAAGGGCTGCTTGGTCCCGGCCCAGCTTCTTTAAATGGAGCTCCAGACCACCGGTGTTAAGTGTAGAGGACGACATCAAAGGGGACGCCCCCATGGAACAGTGAGATCAAGGTTACTCGGTGACCGAGCAGGCCAAGCTCAGCTTACTTGGTGAGGGGGGGAGACCGTGCCTGTAACGCACTTTTAAATCTAAATGCACTAGTGAAGGTCAGTAGCTAGACTGTAGGATAATCCTTTGCAAAGTCCTCTCTCCCCTTTTTTGTATAAACCCAGATTTTATTAGGTTTATTATCAGTCAGGGGGTTCTTCAGTGAGGGGCTCCAGCTGCTGGCGGGGCGGAGGGGGGGCTCTTAAACCATCTGAAATAATACAACTTGTGTGTGCATGTGCACGTTCCTGCGGGGAGAGGGTCCAGAGCTCCCACTGGACTCTCAAAGGAGCCCGTGTTCCCAGAAAAGTTAACCATTGCACTGACAGCTGTATTTTTGTTACTGTCATCCTTACAGAGCTTCCGTCTATTACCTTTTGGTTGTTAGAGATGCTCATTTCAGGCTTTCAAAATGATGCACAAAGAGGAAGAAGCACAGGGCACTGTCACCATTTGGTTTCAAGTATTGACCTCCAGGGTCACAGAGCCTACCCTCTCCATCACTTTAAACGGCGCGCACACACCATACACCACACACACACACACACACACACACACACAGGGCAACACAGCCCGTGCCGCCTTCTCTCAGGGCACAGGGCAGGCAGACGCTTTGGGCTTTGGTTCCCGAGGCCGGAGGGACGTGGCTACTCTGTTGAGTGTAAACACACACACACACACACACACACGCATCCCTCTCAAGCAGGGTCTGACTTCCTCATGAGCAGGTCGGACATGAAACAAACGGGTGACACTGTGCCTGGCCAGTAAGACAGCACTCTTTCCAGATTCTGAAACAGATTTCCTTGTCCTTTGGACCATGAATAAAATAAGCCTCTCCTGCCAAGTACTCAGTTTCTAAACCCAGGACTATGCACTCAACTGTAGTGAGGGGCTGAAAGTCAGATATCCACTCAGCTCGCACCAGCCCTCAGCGCGCCACACGGGCCCCCCCTCTCCACGGCTCCTCCCCGGGGCGAGGGTCAAGCAGACGACAGGAGCCTCTCCTGTCTCGGTCCCACGCGAGCTAACAGGATGGGGTACTTCCTATGCGCCGCACACGATGACTTTATGCAGTAGCAACTCTCAGCCCAGATCAGTGATGAGCAAGTGGCCAGGGGCTTAGTGACTTACCCCAACCACTGCGCTGGCAAGCAGCCAGGCCCCCACTCTCACCCAGCGCACGTTCCACCTCCCTGCTGAGACGCAGTTGGCGATCAGGTCCCAGCCCTGGCTTCCAACACATTCTAAGCTCCTGCAGAAGTAATTGGGCCAACAGATTCCATGACATGAAGGCACACGTACACATCACCGCCACCAGGCAGTTACCCAGGCACCACAAAGCCACCTGACCACGACTTCTCTACCCGCACCTCGATCAAACTGCAGCACCGTAAAACGACAGCTTGCACTGCCCCAAAACATGTTCTGACGCATGTAAAATCTACTTTCTCCAGTTCACGGGAAACAAATTAATGGATACGTATTTTAATTCATCTTTAAAGTCAATCCCTGCAGTCTGTCATCCACTGAGGCTCGTCAACCAGCGTCAGACCCCATTTCGGGCAGGCCCCTCCCTCGCTGCTGCTGGTCACCCTCCCACAAGATCCTCTGCCAGGAGGACTCTCTCAGGCAACCTCAGTCTCAGCAAGGCGGTTGGGATGAGCAGCTGTGGAGGGACGGCATAGTTCACGGCTTCGATTCTCAGGCGAAAAGGACCCCCATCGGTTTCATGAGATTTTGCTTCCAGTCCACATGGTGGATAAATGGGCAAGTTCGCCACGTCATGCTCAGTCTGATGAAGACCAGCAACACTGACAAGTCGCACCTTTGGGACCAACGTCTCAAAAGAACTCCACACACGAGGGACTTCCCTGGCGGTGCAGTGGTTAAGACCCCAGGGGGTGTGGGTTCGATCCCTGGTCAGGGAGTTAGGGTCCCATAAGCCTTGCGGCCAAAAAACCAGAACATGAAACAGAAGCAATACTGTAACAAAATTCAGTAAAGACTTTAAAAAATGGTCCCCATCAAACAAAACACAAAGCTCCACGGACTAGAAAATCAGCTCCAGCGCCGAGGTGAAGTGAGCCAGGGTCTGCCTCCCAACCCAACCTTCCTCCCAGCCCAGCAGGGCGGCCGCAGAAGATGACCGAGACCACACGTGCAGGTTGTACAGGTTTATTTTTCCAAGACCACAGAGACATACAAGAGCAGTGCTTTCCCTGGCAGACCAGTTTCCAACTGTCCCCTAGGGTGGCCCCAAAGGTCACAGCAGGAGGAGGAAGAGGGTCAGACACGCTTGTGCCTCTGCTCCCTGTCTTTGGTAAACAGACTCTTGAAGTTGACAACCTGGACTTGGCCAATACTGCATTTAAATCACCACCACATCTTTGCCAACTTCGCACTCATGCTTCAGATGACAGAAATGCCACAATGGATGAAAAGTGGGGGAAAGAAAAGACCTTTCGGATGAAATGAGACTTGCTGAAGTCATACCAATTTTACAGCTCACACAGACGCACTCACACAGGGAGACCTAAGTTCAACAAGGAAGATGCTCAACTCACAAGTCGAGGAACAAGAAATAAGGCAGGAAGCAGGGTGAGGTGACACAGCTATGGAGACATCTACTTGCTGGAAACGTGTCGGGAGAGAGGCTGGCAGCTGGCATAGCTGTTTCTTCCTTAACCTGCTGTCAGAAGTATGTCCAGTGGAGTCCTGTGGCCCCAGGAAAGCGTGCTCCCAGGTACTGCTGACACGTGGGGAGCCCGGAGCCAGGTCCAGAAGGCCCACCTGGGGGGGCTGCCCAGGGCACTCACCCTTGAATCCAGAAGCACTTGACACTGGTGGTGGTGATTTGTCACACATGGCGGCGAGCCGCCAGTGAAGGTCGGAGGAGAAGCGATGAGGAGCAAGACGCATTCGCCCAGCAGCGAGCAGCCGGGCTGCCCGTGGCTCTGCAAGTGCAGCAGGTCCACCGGCTGACCGGTGACAGGGCACCGGGCCAACTGGCAGGTCCCAAGTCAATCACTCCACCCCTCACGTCGGGCAGCACAGCACGCAGTGGCTCTGACACAGGTGGAGAGAAGTCAATGACACCACTTTAATGCAATGATGCCGAAGACGTAAAATAAGGGAGAGTCGTTCGTGTTCTCTGTACAATACATCCATTTACAGAATCGGCCAGTACTGTGTACAACATATAAATACATGATAAAACATTAGAGGTGCAGAGAGCATACTTACAGAAGCCAGAAGTTCACTTTATACATCCAAGGATAAAGAGTTAA